CAGCCGAGTGTGAAGTGGCTGGGATGAGAATCAGCACCTCTAAATCCGAGACCATATTCCTCAGCTGGAAAAGGTTGGAATGCTCTCTCCACGTTGGGTAGGGGGAGTTTAAGTATCTTGGGGTCTTGTTCACGAGTGAGGAAAGGATGGAATGGGAGATCAACAGGCGGATCGGTGCGGTGTCCGCAGTGATGTGGGCGCTGCATCGGTCTGTCATGGTAAAGAAGGAGCTGAGCCAAAAGGCAAAGCTCTCGATTTACCAGTCGATCTACGTTCCTACCCTCACCTATGGTCACGAGCTGTGGGTAGTGACCGAAAGAACGAGATTGCAAATGCAAGCGGCCGAAATGAGTTTCCTCCGCAGGGTGGCTGGGCTCTCCCTTAGAGATAAGGTGAAGAGCTCAGTCATTCGGGAGGGACTCAGAGTAGAGCCGCTGCTCCTCCGCATTGAGAGATGAGGTGGCTCGGGCATCTGCTTAGGATGCCTCCTGGACGCCTCCCTGGTGAGGCATTCCGGGCATGTCCCACTGGGGAAGACCCAGGACACGCTGGAGAGACTATGTCCCCCAGAGGAGCTGGATGAAGTGGCTGGGGAGAGGGAAGTCTGGGTTTCCCTGCATAGACTGCTACCCCCGCGACCCGACTTCGGATAAGTGGTGGATGATGGATGGATGGATGGATATTTTTACCACAGACTTCCACCTCTGTGCCTGTTTCTCTCACTATTTTAATAGGTTCACAAAACAAAAACTTGGAGGTTAATTGGCTAAATGTCCAGGGCTGGTCAACTCTATAGGCGACACAGGCATTCATTTAGCATGGTGACTTCTGAGGGGGCGTCGACTTGCCAGCCAATTTCACTTTGCCTTAAAGGGGGGGGGGGGGGACACCGGCAATGATGTGTGCTGCATCAGCTAGGACTGTCACTGCAAAGGACCAAATTTGCAAAGGACAGCAAAGGAAATCCATCCATCAAAACCCATTAAGGGCGATAACAGAATTTACGTTATATCTGAATATTCAACATTAAATATAATAATAAATACTTCCATTCAGAATTCCAATTCTGCACTGCATCCATAGAATAGCGGTGCATATTTGACACCTAAAATTCTTTAACCGTGGCAGGGCAGTTACACATGTATGGTAGTCGTCATATTTTCACATATTTTCCCAGGGAATAAGAAAGTAGTCTTAAAAAATGAAATGTTTTGTTCATGTTTCAAATTATACCTAAAATTTCATAAATCAGCAACAGGGCTTAGTATTTGAAACATGTAATGGATAACATTTTTGAACACAATTCAGCCTGGAAAGGAAACGAAAGTCCTGTGTGATGCATCACATCAAAAGACCACACCTGCTAGGATATTTTCAAAGTGTTGTGTAATTGTACATGTTTCCCTCAGATTTCACACAGAGACACCGGCACCATTCCTGCTCGCGTTCACTGCCACACCATCACTCTCTGCCAAGTAACAGGACTGAAATCAGAGAAAGGTGAACAGAGCGTCGTTACTTTGAAGTCAGAACAAAACATTGCACCGCCCTCCATTTCTGGAGAACATCCACTGACTCCATCTATTTATCTTGAAGAACTATTGTGGGATCTAAGTGGGATTTTTATATAACTCCCCTAATTAGGTTTATATTCATATTTTCTAACATCCCTTCATCTGTGACTGGTCCTGTTTTTCGTTTCTTATTTAATGCCACCCGCCAGGTTTAAGCCACAGGAGAGGGTGAGTTAATTTGAAACGCTTTCAAGACAGCCATCTTGGTCTGTGATCAGTCTAATAGTGGTGTGGTGGTGCCACTGTAACCTGAGCTGGAACTTAGAGGAGGGGACATCTAACTTCACCATTTACCTTATGTCAACAATCACAAAACTCAAATTTACTTAATTAAACTTGATCCATCCTCCAGCCTTCCAGCTGATTCTCCCTTTTAGGGTGACAGGGGAGTGTGCAGCCACTGGGCTGGGATGAACCCTGGATGGGATGCCAGTCCATCACTGGGAATATACATGCCCTCGCTGTGGGAAATTTCAAGGTGTCAGAATAATGGTTTGTTTTTATACCGTGTGAGGAAACCTACATGATTCTGGGAGAACATGCAAACTCCACAGGTACAGAGGGAAGCTGGGACTTGAACTCCCATCCTTGAGGGTAACCAGTAAGCAGTTTTACTTACTCAAGTTTCCTTTTACTTTTTTAGCAAATGTTTTGTTTCAGAGTGACAAACAAGTGATGCACAGAGAGTAGGATCAATCAGTGTCTCTGGAGCAACAGATCTCAATGCTGACATCACTCTGCCAGTCAGGGCATGTGACCCAGCAACCTTCTGATCACAGGTCCTAACCCACAGGGCTATGCATGTGAATTACCCCTGCCAAGTGCAATAAAATATAGAATATTCATCATCAATAGTCAATGGTGCAGGTTTAGTTTCAACATTGGTAGGGAACAAATCAGCCCTGTACCCACCCCCCACTAAACACACACGGTACTCACATCAAATTGGTTAGACATGTCCCTACCATCCACATTCAAATCTATGCCCTTGCCAATAATGCAAATACTTAGTAATAATTTTAGAAATACACGATACAGAAGCCCTGGGAAAAATTAATGCCTGTCAATACATAAAAATACAACCTTGAGCTGTATGCTTGAGCCCTTAAGTCATCTTTAATTAGCAAAGCCACCGTTACTGTTACAATTATTTATAATGGTCCTACAAGAAAGAGAAAGATGGTCTTTTTGATAATTAGCAAAGTATGATAATCATCTAAGAAACATTCTCCTAACAAATACCAATGTATTACAAAATCAAACAGCCTTTTCCAGCCCACACAGAGCAGAACACTAAGAAACAACCTAGATGGGATACTGGTCCACAGCAGGGCAGAAACAGGAACACAGTACAAGCGATATAGAGGCACCAGTTAGCCTAATTCATGTCTCTGGACTGCAGGAAGAAGCAAAAATAGCTGATGGAAACCCCCACAACACTTGGAAAACATGCGCACACACGAAAAACACGCAGGAGCAGGAAACAAACCCCAGTAATGGAGGTATGAGACAACAGCACTACCCTCTGAGTCACCATGGCACCAAGCTACCAGCTGTGCGATGCGTCATGTAACACCAGTGACGACCATCCCCAAGTTAATGTGACGAGCTGGCCTGACTTGACCACATCTCTGTGCCTAGTGACTCATCATCACCGCATGTCTTAGACTAGTGACTCAGATTATCGTAACTGCATCCCTTAAACTAGTGACTCAGATTCACCCTTAAAGATAGCTGTTCCCTCCATATAGTCTACTTTTTCAGCATTGCTTTTGTTACACATATAAAACGTAGAAATAGGATAATAAATCACAGTAAACAGTGAATGTGTGCATGTCTTACTGTATTGATGTGTAAATTAGGTAATTATAATTAGATATGAATACATGTAATACAGTCATGGCCGAAATTATCAGCACCCCTGGAATTTTTCCAGAAAATGCACCATCTCTCCCAGAAAATTGTTGCAATTAGAAATGTTTTGGTATACACATGTTTATTTCCTTTATGTGCATTGGATCAACACAAAAAACAGAGACAAAAAGCCAAATTTGACATCATTTCACACAGAACTCTAAAAATGGGCCGGACAAAATTATTGGCACCCTTAACTTAATATTTGGTTGCATGCAATTTGGAAAAAATAACTGAAATCAATCACTTCCTATAATCATCATCAAGCTTGTTCCACTTCTCAATTGGAATTTCGACCAATCTTCTTTTGCAAACTGCTCAAGGTCTATCAGATTTGAAGGGTGCCTTCTCCCAACAGCAATTTTGAGATCTCTCCATAAGTGTCAAATCGGATTTAGATCCAGACTCATTGCTGGCATCTTCAGAACTCTCCAGCGTTTTGTCTTCAACCATTTCTGGGTGCTCTTATACCAAAACATTTGTAATTGTAACAATTTTCTGGGAGACATGGTGCATTTTCTGGAAAAAAATCCAGGGGTACTTTCTGCCATTAGTTGACCCAGTCAAATAATAAATCTATACATCATAAAAGTATTTTGCATGCAAAAAATGTAGCTGAAGTCATGTTAATTTTTATAGAGAGTGTAAATCATTGATAGGGGCTGGCATGCAGATGAACTGAATATGTTATGTCTAGTCATTATGTAGCATTTATAAATGCATTATGTAGCCTGTTATGAAAACGACCTGTACACTTCAATATAATGTATTTTTTAGCTATTTAAATAACATAACTCAAACTTGCATAACAATAATAAATAATGAAGCATAATAAAGCTTATTACTTGGAACTAATATTGCACAAGGACACACTGCATATAGCACTCACTTCCAACCAAATGGAACCTTAAGCACACAGCTGCATTAGACAAACCTATATAAAGCCAAAAGACACATCAGATATTATGCAGAACTTAGTGGGAATACCCTACCTGAAAACAATCCTAGCTGTTGATTTTTGGTAATATTCCACCAACTTCTATCCAGTTTTCCTGGTGAGGATCAGGAGGGGCTTGGAGTAAAACTGATGCAGCGGAATGCTGGGTTATACCCTGGCCAGAAGGACAGTCCATTGTAAGGCACATACACACACATTTCGAGATGCCTAACTAATCTACTGCATGTCTTTGAACAGCAGGAGGAAATCTGTGAAACATAAGAGTACCTTGGAACTTGGAAATGTGTGTGTGTGTGTATGTGTGTGTGTGTGCGTGTGTGTGTGTGTGCTTGTGGGATAGGCAGTATACAAGGTGAATGAATGAATGAATGAACAAACAAACAAAAACTTCATAGAAAAAAATTCAGACACACTGAAAAGAGATCTTTTAACAAATATATTTTCTGAAAATGTTCTTTTTATTTTCACCACAGTATATTAGATTTACATTTCATTATTCTTTAATTAGGTTGAATTTCACATATAATGTCACCTTCTCAATATTTTTCCTTTTTTCCTGTGGTACAATATAATGGAATGCTTATTTTATTGTGTTGTTTCTTGATTGTGTTTCATTTTGAATATGGCTCACTTAACAGATATGGTAAATTTTGGGTGACAATGTAGAGAATCTCATTTGCAATAGTGACAGTGCAAAAATGTATCTCAGTCATAAACCGCAGCTACTAGAAACTATTCTTTCTTTGTACCCAAAAACAAATATTTAATTTCTAGCATACAAGTTATCATTTAACATAATGTACCAACAGCCATTTGAAAAGTATGTGCTTCACAGGTAAAGATGCCTGTTGCAATCTCATCTCAACACCTTTTGCGTTTTTATAACTGCCAAAATATTTTACCTGCTATCTGATGCAAAATGATTCAACAGGAAAATGATTGGAAACGGTGATCAAAATTATAAGTATTTTCTGCAAAGAGCTAAAGGAAAATGCCTTGTTGTTCATTATTTGAAAAGAACACTGTCATTGAACATTTAACCAGTCATTCAACAACTTTAAATTAAAAACTTTTTTTTTGCTGTGATTTTCAATTTTCAGTTGTTTGTCCTTTTTAGCGACACAGTGAATAAACCATATGACTGTGTGATTCAGGGTGAAAACGAACCATGAAAAACTGCATTGGGGTGAATAGGTAAAAAAAAATCAGACAGTGCAGCCTGACTTCATTCAAAGGAATGGAAAGGCACTACGTGAAAAGTCCTGACTTCCATGATAAATAAAACACAAATGCTGCATTCATTTGGATTTTTTTGACGGACAAGAACATAAACAAATGCTGTTTTGTTCACACGTTTACTTCCGCTATGTTGTTGTTAGTAATGGCAGGCGATGGTTTGCTCTTGAATCCATCGGTCCCAAGTCTCGAGGTGTCCATGAACAGCAGCCGAGGCGTGCACAAAGCTAACAGGATCCTTTTGTACTCCTGCCGGAAGTTCTGGTTCAGGAGCCCATAGATGACAGCATTGAGGCAGCTGTTGAAGTAAGCCATGAAGTAACTGGAGACGAAGAGCCACTCTGGGATGTTTGGGCCCACTTTAGCTGGGTCGATCGCAACGGCCAATCCAATAAAGTTCAGCGGCGCCCAGCATACGGCAAAAAGTAGGAACACAACAAACATAGTCAGGAAGTTGCGCAGGTCGCTCGATGTTATCTTTTGCTTGTAGTCCGGCCTAACCCGGTGTTTCACCTGGATGACTAGCACCCAGATCCTTAGATAGCAGAAGGAAACCACCAGGAGAGGTATCAGGAAATGAACGACCACCACCAAGATGGTGTAGTAGGAGCTGACCGTCTGGGCGAAGGTGCAGGAATACACCCGGGGATCGTACTGCAGGGAACCCACAAAGAAATTGGGGATGGTGGCGATGGCAGTGAGGAGCCACGTCAGACACAGGTACCAGAAAGTGTTCTTGAGGCTGTAGAGCCGGTCGTACTGCAGGCTGTGGCAGATATAGCAGTAGCGGTTGATGGCGATGGCAGTGATGTTGAAGATGGAGCCGATCACGCTCAGACCCATGATGAAGCCGCTCACCTGACAGTGCATGTACCCCATAGTCCAGTCGTTATGGAAGATGGCCAGAAGAACCAGGGGATATGGGTACACTGCTACTGCCAGGTCTGCTACGGACAAGCTGACCACAAAGATGTTTCCTGCAGGAAAAGAAAGGGGAACGTTAGCTCGCTATTGTGGATCTTCAAATGTGTGTCTTGTAGGAGAGCAAGAAGAGGTATGTGAAAACCAAAGGATTCCTATAGACCTGTACTCATACAAAAGGCAAATAAAAGTATCTTCTCAGAGTTATTTAACCTGCATTTGGTTCTGTAGCATTGACCATTAAATGAATTGCAATGACTGTCAGTTCTCAAAGAGGTTTAAAAATAACATTTGCTTGCATGGCGAATTCATAGATGTTGCATGATGATCAATAACTGAATGGCTGTGGTGAAGCTGAAGCTGACCTTGCAGTGTGATGGCTCAGCAGGTTAGGCTTCTGTGCTCAAGGTTGCCAGCTTTGCTCAGCTGGCTGGTGTGAGATTTTCAATTCAAGACACAGCTGCACGCGCATTTACATGTATGTAACAGTTTTATTACCTTGTAAATAGTCTGTAGGGTTTGCAAACTACCACGATGGTTTTGATGTAGCTAATTTCAGGTTTATAATGGAATGATATACTGTAGATTTGTCGTAAGATTTCTTGCATCAGCAGGAGAGTCTGAAAGTGTGTCATGTGACAGCTGGTAAACCTGTGTGCCTGTGATCAGGATGTCACTGTCACTGTGCCCTTAACTCTCCCAAAATGCTTCTGGAGCACCAGATCAATGACTTACTCTGCTCTCTGAGCCCAGGCATTGTTCTCACCTGGATGTGTGTGTATGTCTCAAAGGACAGCAAGACGGCATGTGTGAAAAGAAAAGAATTCCAACGTGATATGTCATATAAAAGAATGCAGAAAAACTGTTTTTAGTAGAACAGTGCCGATTCCCACAGCAGGGGTAGAGATTAGTCCATGCGATCGCTTTCATCATAGCCATTAAGCTGACGGAGATGATAAGCACATGTGGGTTACTTCATGCGGAGCAAATCAAGTACATTTCAGAAAAGACTGATTATCCCTTCAGATGCTCAAATCCTGGCAACTGTAATTATTTGGAAAATAAGGTGGAGGTGCAGTTTGCATAGGTCTTATATACATACCTCAGTGACTTATGTATTATTTTGACGTGCATTTTTAAAAGTATTTTTCAATAAGAAAAATACAATTTTACAGAACAATCAGTTACGGAGGTCTGCATTTAAATCCCCATCTGCCGTTTACCTGATTGGTTGTTAGACAAGTTATATTCCTCTATAAATCATGGATAAATGGCAATAATTTGCATTGGATTCCAGATTATGGTAGATGAAGTAGACCAGTAGACCACCAACCAGATGTTTCTCCATCTCCTACTTGAGCCATAACAGTGCCCTCCCTTCTAGCAGTGTTGATGTTTAATAATACACATAAAACCTTCTCCAGTATTACTGACAGCTTATGTAACTTTAAAAAGAAAACAATACATTACACATTGTCTGTTTAAAATGCGAAAGGTGTTCACCTGAGAAAACCTATGTCTTTTGCTACTTGAAATGTTGAGATTGTGTGGTGCATGTGTAGTCTGCTGCTTTCCATCTACAACAAGCAGACGGACCAAGCAATGCTACGTCTAATGAGTAACCAGTCAAAAGCAGATATTTGTAAATAACAAACACCTTCACTAGCTGTGCCATCATGTGGATCTCCTGTGTGTCCCGGAGTTTGGTTAAAGATCACAAAATGCTAAATTTGAGGGATTTTAGCCCAGGTGCAGGAAATCCTCAAGGGTCACAGTCCTGCTGGTTTGGTTTACTGTTGCTATGGTGGCTAAGATGATCTGCCCTCTGGATAATGGCCCAGTACAATAAACAGCAGTACATCCCATCATTCCCATGGCCTTCAAAGACATGAAAGTTATACTCAGACTGGAAACTCAATATAGCTTCAACCATAATGAAGAAATGTGAAAACAGCATTTATAACCACCAGCTAGACTGATAGGCAGCTAGTTACAATTTGCTTTAGGTTTCAATTACAGCACGATTACGGAATTTTTTAACAGAATTGTATGGTATGAATAGCAGTGTCCAAATATACATTTCTGATAAGTACTCAGGTACTTACAAGCTTTGTGGTAAATGGCAACACATAATTTCACAACCTAAAATTAAATAAAATACCACGCCCCCTCATTAACCACGTGTTTTGCCCCGATTGTAATCACCTGTTTCCTGCTATTTCGACTTGTCTTGTATATTTAATCCGCGTCTGAGTCCGTTTTCCCCAGGTCTGTCATTGACGTGTTTGCCGTGTGCTCCCCTGTCGTCCTGGCTACCTGAAATAAACCCCGTTCTACCCGCATTTACGGCTCTCTCGCCTGCTTCCCCACTCGCCCGCACGCGGACATCACAGATCCCCATGGGGAAATTTTCTTTTTATGCCTCCCTCAACTTGCTCTTTGTAGACATACTTCCCATTGAAAGTATAGCTGGGCTATTACAGCTAAATTAAATAAAAATTCAATTTGTCATTTTTATTCTTCAGGGAAAAATAGAGAAAGATTCTATTGTATTGATACTATTTATCAGTAAATATTTGTTCAATTTTTAGAATACTTCTGTGCACAACACAGTAATATTTATCTTAGCTAGTGGTTAAAATATCGTAATTCTCCTCCTGATGTGTGCATGGGGGTTACTAAGAGATAATGAAGTCTATAAATTGTACTTTGTTGTCAGGAAACCAGGGTTATATAAGCACATAATCAGGGTTATGTAAGGTAAGTGATGTTCCCTTTCACTAAAGACTTAAGGCTTGTGCCTTTAACCCCTGTATCAGCAGTAGAAAAAGACACCTTGTTAATAGACTTGCATAGTGTTAAGGAGCGTTTTTGACACAATGTTTCATTGAGATTCATCCCTGTTGAGTTCTCTTAAAGAAAGTTTCAAGGTTAGCCAAAAGGAGAAAAGCATAAATTCAAGGACCCAGGCCCCAGTTCCCAGTACATGCTGCTGAATCTGGAATCCCATTCTGACAAAATAAAGGACCTCGTTGTACAATTTCTGTGTCTGAAAATAAATTCCCATAAACCTTATTCCTACATTTTACACTATCTTGAGTTTTGCTGTACAGTAGACTGGGACAATAAGTTTCAGCCATTTTCAGCATGTCAGATGAATTACTGTGACTTGGATGAAAGCAATACAGAAAGATCCCACCAACCTATGGCCATAGATGGAGACTAAAACACATAATGACTGAGCCATAGATCCCGGCATCACCATGAAGTTTTACTCATCCTGTTCCCCGAAGTGTCACAGGTGAAGAAGCTGCATTAGTCATGTTCAGATCATTGTCATTTCTTGAGGAAATGCCTTATAGATGCTCCTTGGTGGCCTCTATCCTTAACACGCGTGGCCATAAACGTAATCCCTCCCACACACGCACATACATATATATAAACATCTCTGCACATGTGCATGGCTACACACAACCTCCTACAGCTCAAATGACCGCTTTTAATGTCTCTTTTCACATACAGGATCCCAGGCAGAATCTCCGAGGAACTCGGCTGATTAAATATGCCTTGGGAGAAGGCCCCCAAATTCTCAAAAAGATTGAGACCCCCTGTTGCTGGTTTCATCAATGGCGGCAACCCTTTGTTCCTGGGACCAGTAAAGGCTTCTTTTTTCCCCTCCTCAAAATATGTCAAGTAAACGACACCCTCTACTGGTTGACCTTTATCCAACAGAGAGTAATGCAGTAATATTTTAGAAATAGAATTTAGTGATCATTGTCAACACACCACAGCACACAGTGCGCAACAACGAAATGTGACCTTTGCATTTGACCCATATGTGACTTTCGTGACAATTCAGCACCCGGGGAGCAGTGCTTGGGGACGGTACCTTGCTCAGGGTACCTCAGTGGTGACTTGCTGGTGGGGGATTTGAACCTGCAATCTTTCAATTACAAGTGCGCTACCCTAACCATCAAGCCCATATATATATAGTAGTATATGTAACACAGGGGTGGTGTGGTGTTTAGCAGCAAGAAGGTCCTGGGTTCGATCCCGGGTCCTTTCAGTGTAGAGTTTGCACGCTCTCCCTGTATTCATGTGGGTTTTCACCGGGGGCTCCAGTTTCCTCCCACGGTCCAGAAGCATGCAGGACTGGTTGATTGGTGTGTCTAATTTGGCCCAGTAGTTGTGTGTGTGCCCTGCAGTGTGTTGGAAACTGCCCAGGGTTGGTTCCCACCAACAGCCACTGTTGCAGGGATAGGCTCCAGTCCACCCCCCCCCCCACAACCCCAGTTGGGATTGAGCAGTTTCAGAAAACATATGGATGTAATACAGTGGACTGTATTGCCTATATTCTGCCTTAAGTATATGACTCTCCCTTTACATGCTGAGGACACCATGACAGATCCAGGACGATGCATACTTTTTAGTACATACTTTTAAACGTGTAGTACTTGTACTTATTAAACCAGTGATGCTGTCTCTTGGAAAATAGCTATTGATTGCTATCTTTGCCAGCGATGCATATTGCCATGTATATCTTCAAAAGTACTGGTTCAGCTCTTGATCTGCAGGTTGGCATTGAGCCCAGGTCTGTATGTTCTGTGTGTGCGGGTGGCTGAGGTTCTCAGCAGTGTTACTCCCCTTCAAATTTCTGCCTCTCAGGAGGAAAGTGGATTTTATTTCTGCTGACATTTTTGCTGCCCTGGCCAAACGCTAGTCAGTGTCTCTCTTTTGCTGATTGAGTCAACTGTCTCCATCAAAAATATAAGGTGCAAGAACTATAAGATCTTCACCAAAGTGCCAAAATGCTGTTGGGCACCTAAGAGTTTTGTAGCAGGCCAAGAAAGCAGTAGTGTGTGTGGGGTACAATTTAAGAATTTATGTAACTATCCAACACGGCTAGTTCAGTAAAAAAAATAGCACATTTATAATTCTTACTAGCCCATAATGTACAATGCAATTTTCAAGCATAAAGAGCAACCAAAGACTATCACATCTTAGAATAATAAATTATCACGTAAGAATGTTATTTTCCCTTTATTAATTCCCATAA